TAGTAACTTGTTAAATGGTAGTGTTCCATCTTCAATTGGAAAGCTTTCAAACCTGCATAGCCTATATCTGGATCACAACCAATTCATAGGTGAGATACCCTCTTCCCTTGGCAATATCACTGGATTTTTGCATCTAAATTTGGGTTTAAACAACTTTGAAGGAAGCATACCGTCTAGCTTGGGGAACTTAAAGTACCTCCTAGTCCTCGGGCTTCATGGAAATAAACTTAATGGCACCATCCCCCAACAACTCATGAGTCTCTCAGCCTCTTTTAACATAGACGTGTCTTTCAATTCCTTGACTGGTTCCTTGCCTACAGAACTTGGTGAACTCAAAAATATTCTTTTCCTTGTAGTTTCAAACAACAAACTCTTTGGTGAGATTCCTAGCACAATAGGAAATTTGATTTCCTTGGAACATCTTGAGATGCAGGAAAACTTATTCCAAGGATCTATTCCTCCATTGAATCAATTAATGGGTCTTCAATATCTAGATCTTTCACACAATAACTTATCAGGCGGAGTTCCACAATATTTTGAGACTCTTTCCACCTTAATATATCTGAATTTGTCGTTTAACAATCTTTCTGGTGAAGTACCTAGTAAAGGAATTTTCAAAAATGCAACTGCAGTTGGAGTACTTGGCAACACTAAGCTTTGTGGAGGGGCCCCAGAGCTACACTTACAAGCATGCCCCCTTCAAAAACACAAAAAACGTACTAATCCAATGTTGACTTTAGAAATTGCCCTTCCTTCTTCATTTCTTGCTCTGGCATTGATTTTTCTTTCACTATACCTGACAAGAAAAACGAAGAAAAAATCTCTTTCCTCACCTTCTTTTGGACGATTTCATCCAAAAATATCCTACCAGGAACTCCTCAATGCCACTGGTGGGTTTTCATCAAGCAATTTGATTGGCTCAGGTAGTTTTGGAATGGTATATAGTGGAACTTTAAGTCCAGAGGGAACGACTGTTGCAGTTAAGGTACTCAAACTCAGCCAACCTGGAGCTTCCAAGAGTTTCATGGCTGAATGTAGAGCGCTGAGCAACATTCAACATCGCAATCTTGTCAGGATCCTAACTGCTTGCTCCAGCATTGATTTTGAGTGCAATGATTTCAAAGCTCTGGTTTACGAGTTCATGCCAAACGGGAGCTTGGAAAGATGGCTGCATCCAGAAGATGGTCACATACAATTGAGAAACTTGGATCTTCTCCAAAGAATAAACATTGCGATAGATGTGGCTTCCGCATTGCATTATCTTCATAAACAATGTGAAACACCAGTCATTCATTGTGATGTAAAGCCAAGCAATGTCCTACTTGACAATGACTTTACTGCTCACCTAAGTGATTTTGGTTTGGCGAGGCTCCTTTCAAAATCGGGCATAGATGCTGTTTCAAGTCAATTTACCTCCGCCAGTGTCAAGGGAACCACTGGATACGCAGCTCCAGGTACGGTTTCATATTTTTGTTTCTGAATGAAGAGGTCCATTCTGTTAGAAAAACTGCAGCAATAAGCATCAAATCACTAAAATGATAGAATTATTGGAACAACTAATTTTGCAGGTTCTATGCTATAATACAAAAAGTACTGCCCTAACTTCGTAATTAGCAATATTAAAATGGTCCATTATTTAATGTACCATATAAATTTTTGTTTTTCTTCTTGACAATGATTGAAGATGTAGAAAAGATTAGAAAACCAATATTGGTCCAATTGTAGTAGATTAAGTCGATGCTTCAATAGTTTAAAGTTATGCTTATACCAAGTCAACACCAAGTTTCTTGTTTATGCTGCAATTGCAATTGCGTTGCATTTCTGTATTCTCATGATCCTTTTTTGATGCATTCAAATTTGAAAATAGCAATAAGTTCTACTTCCAAAAAACCGTTGAGTCCTGTTTGTTTTTTTTAAGGCAATTAACTCCAACATTTCATAATTTGTTCTAATATACTACATGGAAATTTATATTATTGGTTTAGTTTTGAAAGACTCGTTGAAAGAAAACTTCTAGTGTCTCTCTTGTATTTGCTTCACATTAGCACTAATAGTGATTCATCAACTTGGCAGAGTACGGGATGGGTGCTCCGATGTCAACTCATGGAGATGTATATAGTTATGGGATTCTGTTGTTGGAGATATTCACAGGAAAAAGACCAACTGACAATTCATTCAGTGATGATTTAAATCTTCGTAATTTTGTTAAGATGGCATTGCCGGAGTTGGCAACAGAGATGATGGACCAATTTTTACTAACCGAAGGGATGCAAGAAGCTCAAAGTAGCATTGGAAGTTCCAGTAACCATAGAAATGAATGCATTGAATGCTTGATATCTACACTAGAAATTGGAATTGCATGTTCAGCAGAATCCCCAAGCGACAGAATTGACATCAAAGACGTTGACAATCGTCTACTTTCAATTAGAGACAAATTCATTGGATCAAGAAGGCATGATTAATAGCTCTAAACAGGTGAAATCTCTCGACCTCGTGAAGTGGGGTGTACTTGCATAAATTACTAATGAAGAGAGACATACCTGATCATCAACTCTTTACACACCAAGAAGCAATATGTGTAGTTACCTTGTACTGGCCCAGCTAGAATGCCTATCTACACACACACACACTTAGTGACTTAGAAGCACACGCCAGGGTATGAATTCCCTCACCTGTCTATCAATAAACAAAATAATTAGATAGACTGTGTTGCACAAGCAGTCCATGAATGTTAATGCTTCAAAATGCCAAGATATGTCTATCATTGCACCAGGTTCAATAAAACCTGATTTTTTACGGGTCATGTTTTTCCTTTTTCTTATTTTTAATTTTAATTAAGATACTTGGAGGTCTACTACCCTAGAACCCAATCTACCGGTAAAACTACCTTCAGTGTCCTTGGTTTTGAAAATGGAATGTTGAAATTCGAACATAATAATGCTGCATAGAAAATCAAATTATCTATTTAGATTGAACCAGCATAGAGACCAGGTAGATAGTTCATTGGTGCAACTGTTGAGTTAATTGGTGAGACCAATCATATAATTAAAAAATATAAAAAAAATTATAAAACATAAATTATAAATACAAATCACAATCACATTGTTCAAACATAAATTATAAGTTGTGAACTGGCCAGTTTGAGAAATCGTCGGGTTCACTCGTTTTGGCCAAAACTGGCCGGTTTGGCGGTTTTTCATCGGTTCGATTGCACAGGCGGTCTTTTTAATCAATCCGACCGATTTAGGTCCTGATTTACTGGTCCGACCGACGGTCCGATCCGATTCTGAGTTCTCTTGTCGGAGATGTTCAGCAATTTAGCTAAGATGGCATTGCCGAATCAAGTAACGTACGTGCTGGACCCATTTTTACTTACTGAAGGAACATAGGAGGCTCAAAACAGCATTGGAAGTTCCAGGAACCATAGAGATGAATGAATTGAATGTTTAGAATCTGTCCTATAGATTGGAGTAGCGTGTTCAGTGGAACGTGGAATTCCTATGTGACAGAATGGAAATCAAAGACGTTGAGCTCCATCCAATTTAAATCACAGATAAATACATTAGACACTTGAACAGTTGCTTGAGATGCGGATACACGAACGGGAGATGGAGAGAAAAACGCGAAGTTTATATTTGGGAGTGGACTTTTTTTAACAGAAGGGCGTCATTTTGACTATTTAACGGTCAAAGGGATGCTGTTTCATTTGAAATAATTATAAAAAATAATAATAAAATAAATTGCGTGAATTCTATCGTTTTGAATCGTACAATTCTTGCGATTGCTTTGATTCAAATTTAATCATACGATTCAAGTGTGATTTTCGACCAAAAATGATTCTATAGTAAGATTATTGTTATTAAAATCATACGATTTGTAATTTGACTCATGCGATTTAATTCGATTTAGTTCTCATTCGATTCGTATCTTATTATAAAATCGTTTTTAGCTAAGAATCGCACCAAAATCACACAAGTCGATTCAAATCGAAAGAATCACACAATTCATTTTATTATTATTTTTAACTCTATTTAAAGTAAAACGACATCGTTTTGATCGGTAGATAATCAAAAAGACGTCGTTTTGCTAGAAGAAGCCCACTCCTAAATATAAAACTCATGTTTATCTTTGTATCTCCTATTCACGTTTTTGTCTTTCAAGCGTATGTGAACATCACACAGAGGCGAAGTCTCCTTCACTCAAAGTATGATGCTGCTTCTTATTCAAAACCTGCTATCAAACCCTAACGAACTTTACTTCTTCTTCAATAAATGCTCTATTTTTTTGTTTTCATTAAAATTTTATTTTTCAATCGAATGTGGGAAAGGATTTTCTAACTTTACATATTCGAATTAGTATAAGCTTTTCTTATTTTGGTTTAATTTTATTGGTAGGAAGACAATAGCAATTTGTTAGTTTAAAAATCATACATCTTTCATTATGACCATTTTGAGAGGACGATTTATTATACATTAAGAAAGAAGTAACAAAAGCACAACTCAAGTGTACCTTTATAAAGATTTATAAAAGCTTGTATTTTTCTATTTAGACGATGTGATCAAGTCAATACCATCAATTAATTATTTTTAAAATACAATAACGTTTAATATTCAATATCATGCATATTTTAAATGTGTACATATTATTATTTATCATTGTTCAAATTTTGTGTCAAATCTTGTTATTCCCGATTCGATACTATTCCTAATTTTCAAATTTAGGATCCTGATTCTCAAATTTAGGATTTCGATTTCTAATACGAATCTAAATTTGATAACTATGAGTAAGATATGAATCCAATGAAGATTAAATCGAATTGAATCGCGAATCATACGATTTTAATAATAATGCTCCATAACCATCTGCAGTCCTGCTTGATTCCTTATTCAACCCAGTTGCCAAAGTGGTCCTCTTTTACTTGAAGGTCTAATCCCTAAGAAAATAATCTACCTATAAACCTACCTCAAATTTCCCTGGTATTGAGTTTGGAATATATGATTCAAAGGCTATCTTTGAATAGCAGAATGAAGAGTCTTCCTCAACCTTCTCTGTTGATTACTTTGCCACACAAGAATTTTTAAGCTACCCAACTCATTTCTTATTTTCAAAATGGATCTCCATCCCTTTGTCCATCCTAAGTCCTCCAGTGATATTCATTTTGATAGGAGAATAGTAGAAAGTATGCATTAGCAGTGTTGGATAATTTCATCAAACTTTTAGGTAGAGATATGGAATTTTCTTTCGTTCTTTTTTTTTTTTTTGTGGTAAGTAGTGATGGAATTTTCATGTATACACTCCAAAATGAGGATCAAACTGCTTACTGCTTACTGCTTTTTTAGACTCCACTACAAGTGGAGCTTTGTCTACTCGGTACAACTTCCTAATATTTTACACAATACATGAGTCAAAAGGGTATAAGAGTGGTGATTTTTGGCCCTTTTTAACCTCAGAAAAATATATCCTCACCAAATCTATATGCTGGATAAAGACTGTAAAAGAATAAACAGTAAGCCCATACTCTGGTAAAGACATTTCTAATTAGAAATTCTTTTTGCAAACTGAACAAAGTAAAATATATATATATATATATATATATATAAACTCGATGATTTCATTCTATACAAAGCATCAAAAATCCAAACTTGCCCTCCAAATTTCCATTAAAACTTAACTGAAGATTTAACATGACATTTTTTATTAGATTAATGTTACATAGTTTTAAAAATTATACTTGAATAAGTAGTGAGTCCCAATACACGTTAGGATCCACAATTAAATCAATGACTATAATTATCAAGTCCAGTTTTTAAATCTAATTTTTAAGTTCACGTAGCATTACTCTTTTTATTATTATTTGATACGCAAGTGAAAATTAAAAAAAAAAGTGCATAGAACCTTTCAGCAGTGAATCCCCTGTCATCTTTCTCTAACCGACATCAGAAACTCAAACTTTAATATATATAATTTTCATTTTTCAGATCAAAACATTCTAAATCGCAAGATGTGAATCGGGAAATCAAGCATGGTATATAAGATTTTAATGTATATGTTTAGGGAGTGGAGCAAAGAAAGGAAAACATCTCACTGAAATGAATTATACTTTCCAAAAAGAATTATGATTATTATTTAAATCTTATTGTTAAAACCTAAACTGCATTCATCAATAATATATTTTGATGGCGTTAACGCACTTTTACAAAAGATGAGCTGGGACTACGCTAGGTTGCTAAGATGATGCCATAATATCCAGGGCTTTGGAAGTTAAGACAATAGAATTATAGTGGTTTACCAGCTTAGAAGCTCGGCTAGTCCACTCTGAAATGGAGACTCTTGCTCCTTTTGTTTTATCCACGGTGATTACAAAGTTGTTATGACTTCTTTTTGCCACTAGGGTTCCCCTTCCTGTTAGGGGGTGTTACCTTGTATTTATAAGATCATTCCCTGCTAAGAAGGATCTTAGCCGAGATTCTTGCCCTTATTTGGTGGGCTTCTCCTTAATTCTAGGAGAAGATCTTAGTTAGTTGAGATTAGGTGCCTTGATTACAGCTTCCTAACGCTTTAGGATCCTCTCGTGGTTATCTAGTTGTTATCTTGTCTTAAGAGACACTCGGCCCATACCCTCTGACCTCTGCTAATGTGCTTGACCTCCTGGTCCGAGCTGACCTCCTGAGCTTAGCACTTGAAATTTATTTTAGGTATCATCAGTTGCCCCCTAGCCCTTGACTCAAGCGAGCTTGGGCATGGGCTGAGCTGCTTTCGCATTGGACTAGGCCTGTACCTCGCTGACCTTAGTCCACGTGTGAGATGCACGTGGGGGGCTCTTTGACAGTTTACAGCAATCATGACTTTCTCGATTTTCGTGCATTTTTCAGCCCACGTCACTCAAGCTTTAATTGCTCAAATGGCTACCCAAAAATCGCTCAAAACTCCTTGTTCATTTTCTACGCTGTTCACCTTTGCCTCTGCCTCTTTTCCTCTACAATTCCTTGGTTTTCCTACATGCGATTCACTCATTCTCTGCTCAAGACTGCGTTTTTCGGGTACGCCTTGAAGTCTTGCTTTGCTTCTTCTCTCCAATTTCATCCTCGGTTGTTGTTTGCTGCTTTCTTCCCTGTCTAGGTACGCCCTTTCTGCCCCCTTCTCTTTCTCTTACCTTTTCCCCGCTCTGGAGCCCTCAAATTCGAGGTGGCCGTTATTTTTCTGGGTTTTTCGGTTATTTTACTTTTGAAATCAAGATTGTTGTTTATCTCCTCTTCCCCGCTTTATGGATTGGAACTCCACTGTGCGAATTCTTACCATTGGGGGGTACAGTGCTGACCCTAGGATTATTAGGGGATGTTTGATTAGTATTCCTCCTCTCTATCACTCTTTCAATCTGTCTTTCTCTCTACCAATCATGTCTGCCTCCTCTAGAGCAACTCCTTCCTCTGTTTTCCTCTTAGGCGATAGGTCTGTCGAAAGA